AAAATCGTAAATTTCAAAGACTACCTGTATATCAAAAACCAAGAGGGCTATGACAATTTGGTTTGCGCCATTGTAACTTTCACAAAAAAGTAGCTCAGGTTCGTGAAAGCCGCAACTTTCTATCTTTCATAATAACTGAGATAAACTGCAAACCCATCGAAATTTGGACCCTGTACATTTGCTCTCAGATTCGTCAATATTGAGAAAAATACGAAAATTTAAAAATTTTATGAATTTCCTTTTTTAAAAATATAGGAGAAAAAATTAGGAGTCACTATAAGTAAAATATGGATGACAATATATTAACTTAACAATAATTTAGGTCATTTTAAAAGTATCCGAGAATGTATCCGGAAACTGCCGGATACATGTATCCGGATACTTTTATGGAGAAAGTATCCGTACTTTTTTTAAAGCATCCGGATACATTGTAAGTATCCGGTATCGGGTATTCGAATACTTTTTTCCTGTATCCGTCCCAGCTCTGCTTTGAAGTCATTGATGATAACCAGAGCCCAGACAGTTTAGGAAACGTGCGCCCCTCCACACTAAACGAATACCTTGATAAGCGTACGCTTCGATTTAATTCATTGAATATGGAGACAGGAGCGGGTGGCGTTTTAGGATCACTTTCCTAAACTGTCTGAGCTCTGATGATACCACTAGGGAATCTGATTATATTACAAAAAAACTTTTAAAACAAAAGTTGTAGCAAATTTTATTTTTACCAATATTGTTCTCTTTCACTTTTGCTCTCAGATTCGTCAACATTGAGAAAAATACGAAAATTTAAAAATTTGATAAATTTCCTTGTTTTACTATTAGCTAGTGGTAGCATGCGGGTATCGGAGCATGTTATCAAAAAACTTTTAAAACAAAAGTTGTTACAAATTTTGTTATTAACAATATTGCTCTCCTGTACATTTGCTCTTAGATGCGTCTATATTGAGCAAAATACAAAAATATGCAAATTTGATGAATTTTTGCTTTTTCATGTTATTAATGGTAACACTCGAGAATCGGATTATGTTTCAAAAAAACTTTCAGAACAAAAGTTGTTGCAAATTTTGTTAATAACAATATTGCTCTCTTGTATTTTTGCTCTCAGATGCGTCAATATCGAAAAAAATACGAAAATATGAAAATTTGCTGAATTCGTTGCTTTTTCAAGTGGTTGTAGCAATCGGGAATCGAGGCATGTTATAAAAAACTTTTAAAACAAAAGTTGTTGCAAATTTTGTTATTAACAATATTGCTCTCTTATATTTTTGTTCTCAGATGCGTCAATATCGAGAAAAATACGAAAATATGAAAATTTGATGAATTTCCTTGTTTTACTATTAGCTAATGGTAACATTTAAGAATCAGAGCATTATACAAAAAAACTGTTAGAACAAAAGTTGTAGCAAATTTTATTGTTAACAATATTGTTCTCTTGCACTTTTGTCCTTAGATACGTCAATATCGAGATATATACGAAAATATAAAAATTTGTTACTCTTTCAAGTTATTAAAGGTAACACTTGGGAATCGAACCGTGCTATAAGAAATCTTTTATAACAAAAATTGTTGTAAATATTATTGCTAACAATATTGCTCTCTTGCACTTTTGCTCTTAGATACATCAATATCGATAAAAATACGAAAATATGAAAATTTGATGATTTTAGTTGTTTCACTAGTACAGGGTCCGGCAATGACTAGGAAAGATTTAGGTAGGGTTTGCAGCGCGCCGCGAAGTGATGGGGAATAAAGTAGCCGACTTGCCAAAACCTGCATAATTTGCCATTTAGTTTACAATGGAGCGTTGGACGGGTGAGCATCGCGGTTACGCAGTTAAAGCCTATTTTCAAAACGGTGAGATTTCGGCAAATGGGCAAATCATTGGTCCATATTTTTTTGAAAATGAGGTTGAAATGCCGTTACCGTTAATTCTGTACGATACGTTGCAATGATTCAGAATTATCCTACACCACAACTTGAAAGCCTTCCAGGGAATGAAAACACACTTTTTCAACAAGACGGGAAAACAAGTCACACTACAAGAATTTCAATAAATTCTGTAATTGCTTTGAAACGGCGATATCACTTGGCCCCCTCGGTCTCCCGACCTAACCCCCTGCGACTTCTTTCTTGCAGAGCTTCTTCATGCAAAACTTTCAGACACGACTCCAAGAATGCATAAATTGTAACGAAGGACATTTAGCGGATGTAGTATTCAAAAAATAATTTTTTTGACTTTGTAAACCAAATGGCAAATCATGCAGGTCTTGGCAAGTTCGCTGTAAACCCTACCTTAAATCTTTCCTTTTCACTGCTGAACCCTGTAATTAATGGTAACACTGGAAAATCGGAGCATGATACACAAAAACTTTTAGAACAAAACTTGTAGCAAATTTTATTCTTAACAATATTGCTCTGTTATACTTTTGCTCTCAGATACGTCAATGTTGAGAAAAACAAGAAAATATGAAAATTTGAAGAATTCGTTGTTTTACTAGTAATTAATGGTAGCATTCGGGAATCCTAGTATGTTATAAAAAAACTTTTAGAATAAAAGTTGTAGCAAATTTTATGCTTACCAATATTGCTTTCTTGCATTTTTGTTCTCAGATGCATAGATATCGAGAAAAATAGGAAAATATGAAAATTTCATGAATCTTGCTGTTTTAAGTAGGTAATGGTAAAATTTTTGAATCGGAGCATATTATAAAAAAACTTTTAAAACAAAAGTTGCAGCAAATTTTATTCTTAACAATATTGCCCTGTTACACTTTTACTCTCAGATCAATAGATATCGAGAAAAATAGGAAAATAAAAAAATTTGATGAATTTCGTTGTTTTAAGTAGGTAATGGTAAAATTTTTGAATCGGAGCATATTATAAAAAAACTTTTAGAACAAAAGTTGTAGCAAATTTTATTCTTAACAATATTGCTCCTTTACACTTTTGCTCTCAAATGTATTAATATCAAGAAAAATTCAAAAAAGTAAAAATTAGATGAAATCGTGGTTTTACATCATGCTGTTGGTAGGCGAGATTCGGAACGTGTTAGAAAAAAAGTTTTAATATAAGAGTTGTAGCCAATTTTCTTCTTAACAATATTGTTCCTTTACACTTTTGCTCTCAGATGCATTAATATCGAGAAAAATTGAAAAGAGTGAAAATTAGACGAAATCGTAGTTTTGCATCGTATTGTCGGTATAAAAAGAAACCAAAACATTTTAGAAAAAAAGTAGTTGTATAAAAGTTGTAGTAAATCTTATTTTCAACAAGTTCGTTCTTTTGCACTTTTGCTCTCGGATGAATAGATATCGAGAAAAATAGGAAAATATGAAAATTTGATGAATTTTGTTGTTTTAAGTAGGTAATGGTTAAATTTTTGAATCGGAGCATATTATAAAAAACTTTTAGAACAAAAGTTGTTGCAAATTTTATTCTTAATAATATTGCCCTCTTGCACTTTTGCTCTCAGATGAATAGATACCGAGAAAAATAGGAAAATATGAAAATTTGATGAATTTCGCTGTTTTAAGTAGGTAATGGTAAAATTTTTGAATCGGAGCATATTATAAAAAAACTTCTAGAACAAAAGTTGTAGGAAATTTTATTCTTAACAATATTGCCCTCTTGCACTTTTGCTCTCAAATGAATAGATATCGAGAAAAATATGAAAATTTAATGTTTTTCGTTGTTTTACTAGTAATTAACGGTAGCATTCGGGAAGTTGCTAATGGAAAGAAAAACTATAATGCGAGCATGATACGGAAAAACTTTTAGAACAAAAGTTGTAGTAAATTTTACACTTTACACATTAATATCTAACATTTTTGCTCTTAGATGCATCAATATCGATAAAAATATGAAAATTTTAAGAATTCGTTGTTTTCCTACAAGTTAATAGGTAGCACTTGGGTATCGGAGCATGTTATAAAAAAACTTTTAGAACAAAAGTTGTAGCAAATTTTATTCTTAACAATATTGCTCTTTTGTATATTTGCTCTCAGATGCGTCAATATTGAGAAAAATACGAAAATTTAAAAATTTGATGAATTACCTTGTTTTACTCTTAGCTAATGGTAGCATTCGGGAATCCGAGCATGTTATCAAAAAACTTTCAAAACAAAAGTTGTTGCAAATTTTATTCTTAACAATATTGCTCTTTTGTATATTTGCTCTCAGATGCGTCAATATTGAGAAAAATACGAAAATTTAAAAATTTGATGAATTACCTTGTTTTACTCTTAGCTAATGGTAGCATTCGGGAATCCGAGCATGTTATCAAAAAACTTTCAAAACAAAAGTTGTAGCAAATTTTATTTTCACCAATATTGCTCTCTTGTGTATTTGCTCTCAGATGCGTCAATATTGAGAAAAGTACGAAAATTTGATGAATTTCCTTGTTTTACTATTAGCTAATGGTAGCACTGGGGAATCGGAGCGTTTTATAAAAAAACTTTTAAAACAAAAGTTGTAGCAAATTTTATTCTTACCAATATTGCTCTATTGTTTTTTTGCTCTCAGATGCGTCAATATTGAGAAAAATGCGAAAATATGAAAATTTTAAGAATTCGTTGTTTTCCTATAAGATAATAGGTAGCACTTGGGAATAGGATAAAAATTTTTAATCATTTTTCAATTTTTAGGGGAAAAATGAGCTAGGGTTATTTTCAAAAAATCGTATAAAATCCAATTTTTAACGAATCAAAACGAAATTATCACCACTTTTACCCAAAATCATAGCCTTTTTAGCAAAAAAGACCGTTTTTGAAAATATCGTTTAGTTCCTGAGATAAAGCATTTTTCAAATTGAGCCGATTTTTCACAACAAAATTAGACAACTAAATTTTTAAAAAATCGCCAAAAATCGGGCATTTAAGATATCGCGACGCAATTTTTATATATTATAGAGTTAAGTGTCACCTTTTCAATGAATCAAACTGTTTTTGGAAATATCTTTTAGTTTTTGAGATATTAATTTATAAAGATTAAAAACTTACATTAACAACGGTGAAAAGTCCTTTGTGTTTCGGAATAACGTATCCAAAAAGATCTTTAACTTGGCTCGTTAAAACATGAACAGCAGCCCCCGTTGTGAATCCACTAACCATCGTTTCAGAAATTAAATTGCTTATAACTCCCAATCGTAAAGCGTACATCATCAATTGGAAAATGGCAGTCATAAAAGTAACCGCAGTAGCCACTTGGATAGGCGAATAACAATTATTTGGTGTCGTTAAATTAAAAATTTCCGTGGAATTCTTTGTTAAACAATTTGTTGAGTTGCTATGTTCCAAAACGACCTTTCCAGTCATCAAACAAACCACGGCGAAAGTCCCCAAAGAATTGTGTCTGGACGTACCCAACAAAACGTACATTAAAACGGGGAAAAAAGCCATATAAATTCCAATTACAGGGTCAACGTTGCCCAATAAACCATAAGCCATTCCTTGTTGAAATAAAATCGAATCAAATTAATGTAAATTAGACTATCGACATACTTAAATAATTAATTTACCTTGAGGAATGTGCATAATTGCGACCGTGAATCCAGCGATTAAATCGGCCGATAAATTCTCTTTCCATTTGTAATGGATTAACCAATCCAAGGCGGGGATTGTTTTGTACAAAATCTTTTTTGGTTTGCTATTTTTGCAGTTTGAGCAGAATTTTTGAAACACTAAATGTAAAAGAATGTTTCGTTAATTAATACATTTCATCTAAATTAATTATACAAAAATACGAAAATTTGAAGAATTCGTTGTTTTACTAGAATATAGGTAGCACTGGGGAATCGGAGCGTTTTATAAAAAAAGTTTTAAAATAAAAGTTGTAGCAAATTTTGTTCTTACCAAGATTGCTCTCTTTTACTTTAGCTCTCAGATGCGTCAATTTTAAGAAAAATGCGAAAATATGAAATTTTTAAGAATTTGTTGTTACTACCAGATAGTGGTAGCAATGGGGAATCGGGGTATTTTATAAAAAAAATTTTAAAACAAAAGTTGTAGCAAATTTTGTTCTTACCAATATTGCTCTCTTTTATTTTTGTTATCAGATGCGTCAAAATCGATAAAAATACGAAAATATGAAATTTTTAAGAATTTGTTGTGTTACTACCAGATAGCGGTAACACTGGGGAATCGGAGCGTTTTATAAAAAAACTTTTAAAACAAAAGTTGTAGCAAATTTCATTCTTACCAATATTGCTCTGTTTTATTTTTGCTCTCAGATGCGTCAAAATCGATAAAAATACGAAAATATGAAATTTTTAAGAATTTGTTGTGTTACTACCAGATAGTGGTAGCACTGGGGAAACGGGGCGTTTTATAAAAAAGCTTTTAAAACAAAAGATGTGACAAATTTTGTTCTTACCAATATTGCTCTCTTTTATTTTTGCTCTCAGATGCGTCAATTTCAAGAAAAATGCGAAAATATGAAATTTTTAAGAATTTGTTTTGTTACTACCAGATAGTGGTAGCACTGGGGAATCGGAGCGTTTTATAAAAAAACTTTTAAAACAAAAGTTGTAGCAAATTTTGTTCTTACCAATATTGCTCTGTTTTACTTTTGCTTTCAGATGCGTCAATATTGAGAAAAGTACGAAAATATGAAATTTTTAAGAATTTGTTGTGTTACTAGCAGATAATGGTAGCACTGGAGAATCGGGGCATTTTATAAAAAAACTTTTAAAACAAAAGTTGTAGCAAATTTCATTCTTACCAATATTGCTCTCTTTTATTTTTGCTCTCAGATGCGTCAAAATCGATAAAAATACGAAAATATGAAATTTTTAAGAATTTTTTGTGTTACTACCAGATAGTGGTAGCACTGGGGAATCGGGGCATTTTATAAAAAAACTTTTAAAACAAAAGTTGTAGCAAATTTCATTCTTACCAATATTGCTCTCTTTTATTTTTGCTATCAGATGCGTCAATTTCAAGAAAAATGCGAAAATATGAAATTTTTAAGAATTTGTTGTGTTACCTCCAGATAGTGGTAGCACTGGGGAATCGGGGCGTTTTATAAAAAAACTTTTAAGACAAAAGTTGTAGCAAACTTTGTTCTTACCAATATTGCTCTGTTTTACTTTTGCTTTCAGATGCGTCAATATTGAGAAAAGTACGAAAATATGAAATTTTTAAGAATTTGTTGTTACTACCAGATAGTGGTAGCAATGGGGAATCGGGGTATTTTATAAAAAAAATTTTAAAACAAAAGTTGTAGCAAATTTTGTTCTTACCAATATTGCTCTCTTTTATTTTTGTTATCAGATGCGTCAAAATCGATAAAAATACGAAAATATGCAATTTTTAAGAATTTGTTGTGTTACTACCAGATAGTGGTAACACTGGGGAATCGAAGCGTTTTATAAAAAAACTTTTAAAACAAAAGTTGTAGCAAATTTTGTTCTTACCAATATTGCTCTCTTTTATTTTTGCTCTCAAATGCGTCAATATCGAGAAAAATGTGAAAATATGAAAATTTAAAAATTTTTTTGTGTTACTAGTAAATAATGGTAGCACTGGGGAATCGAGGAATTTTATAAAAAAACTTTTAAAACAAATGTTGTAGCAAATTTTGTTCTTACCAATATTGCTCTCTTTTATTTTTGTTATCAGATGTGTCAATATCGATAAAAATACGAAAATGTTAAGAATTCGTTGTTTTACTAGCAAATAATGGTAGCACTGGGGAATCGGAGCATTTTATAAAAAAAACTTTTAATACAAAAGTTGTAGCAAATTACATTCTTACCAATATTGCTCTCTTTTACTTTTGCTCTCAGATGCGCCAATATAAAGAAAAATACAAAAATATGAAATTTTTAAGAATTTGTTGTGTTACTAGCAAATAATGATAGCACTGGGGAATCGGAGCATTTTATAAAAAAAGTTTTAAAACAAAAGTTGTAGCAAATTTTATTCTTACCAATATTGCTCTCAGATGCGTCAAAATCAATAAAAATAGGAAAATATGAAATTTTTTAGAATATGTTGTTACTAGCAGATAATGATAGGTAGCACTGGGGAATCGGAGCATTTTATAAAAACAGTTTTAAAACAAAAGTTGTACCAAATTACATTCTTATCAATATTGCTCTCTTTCACTTTTGCTCTCAGATGCGTCAAAATCGATAAAAATACGAAAATTTAAAGAATTCGTTGTTTTACTAGCAAATATAGGTAGCATTCGGGAATCGGAGAATTTTATAGAAAAACTTTTAAAACAAAAGTTGTAGCAAATTTTATTCTTACCAATATTGCTCTGTTTTACTTTTGCTTTCAGATGCGTCAAAATCAATAAAAATACGAAAATTTGAAAAATTCCAAGGACAGTAGAATCTAACAGGACTGCTACATCCAGTATATTTTTGTAGTCCACTACGGGTTGGTTGCCCGCAATCTACGTCACACTATTCGCCACGCCTGGTAACTGTCTGTGTTTTTAGAGGTTATATGATAGACATTAATACGTCTAAAAACATAAAACTTCAAAACTAATAGGAATACGTCTAGGATACAACCTTTAAAAATACACAGTAAACGCATAGACCATAACAATAGCTGGGCGTGAAAAATGGTGTAACGTAGTTTGCGGGCAGGTTGTCACAACAATTGATGTAGCAGTCCTTTTAGATTCTACTGTTCTTGAAAGAATCGTTATTTTACTAACAAGTAATGGTAGCACTGGGGAATCGAAGAATTTTATAAAAAGACTTTTAAAACAAAAGTTGTACCAAATTTCATTCTCACCAATATTGCTCTCTTTTCCTTTTGCTCTGAGATGCGTCAAAATTGATAAAAATACGAAAATATGAAATTTTTAAGATTTTGTTGTGTTAAAGGTGTGTTTACGTTGGAGCTGCGATAAACGGTAATAGCGACAATACTAGCAAACCAACGAAATTGTTGTCATAGTTTTATATGCAGGAGTTTATATTGGAACGAGAGCGGCGATAAACGATAAGAGCAGCAATGAGAGCACCGATAAGTGCTGCGCAACATGAATTGAAAATGATTTGTCAGAACAAATCTGTTGTGGTGATTTTTATCTTTTTGGTCCCACAAGGGGAATCTTACAAAAATTTCACTAATTAAACAGTCGATATCCATGCCGACCACACCTGATAATAGCAAAGAAAATAAGGAATACAATTAGCGTCGCTCTTATCGTTAGTCGACTGTCAAGCGTGTGACAACGCGTCGCTCCAATATAAACACCTACATATAAAACTATGACAACAATTTCGTTGCTTCGCTTCAAACTTAAACGCGCTCTTACTAGCAGATAATGGTACCACTCGGGAATCGGAACATTTTATAAATAACTTTTAAAACAAAAGTTGTAGCAAATTTCATTCTTACCAATATTGCTCTCTTTTACTTTTCCTCTCAGATGCGTCAATATCGAGAAAAATACGAAAATTTGAAGAATTCGTTGTTTTACCAGCAAATATAGGTAGCATTCGGGAATCGGAGAATTTTATAAAAAAACTTTTAAAACAAAAGTTGTAGCAAATTTTATTCTTACCAATATTGCTCTCTTTTATTTTTGCTCTCAGATGCGTCAAAATCGATAAAAATACGAAAATTTGAAGAATTCTTTGTGTTACTAGTAGATAATGGTAGCACTGGCGAATCGGAGCATTTTATAAAAAAACTTTTAATATTGCTCTTTTTTGCTTGAAGAATTCGTTGTTTTACTAGCAAATATAGGTAGCATTCGGGAAATCGGAGCATTTTATAAAAAAACTGTTAAAACAAAAGTTGTAGCAAATTTCATTCTTACCAATATTATCTCTTTTACTTTTGCTATCAGATGCGTCAAAATCGATAAAAATACGAAAATTTGACGAATTCGTTGTAAATAATGGTAGGTAGCACTGGGAAATCAGAGCATTTTATAAAAAAAATTTTAGAACAAAAGTTGTAGCAAATTTTATTCTTACCAATATTGCTCTCTTTTAGTTTTGCTCTCAGATGCGTCAAAATCGAGAAAAATACGAAAATGAGAAGAATTCGTTGTTTTACTAGTAATACAGTGTCCTCCAAAAAGTCAGCAACAACCGTTTTATTTCTGTTCCATTACATCAACGTTTCTGAAATTTAGCTTATATGGGAGGCTCATACCAATCATTCGATCTAAGGTATTTTCAAGATGGTGGCCACTTCCGGTCCCCCGGAAATAGACCTCAACTTCGTTATTTTAAGTGGAATGCTATAGCTTTTAATTGTATGCGAAAAAATATGTTGACTTTGATAAATGTTACTGGTACCTAGCATTTTTCGTTTTCGAGTTATTTTGATTTTAAGTTTTTGTTTGGTAAATTTCACCATGCTTTTAAAACCTCATATCTCAGCCAATATTAATTTAAGAAAGCTCTAACTTGGTACGATTACTCTTCAGATGATATCAAATAGATTGCCATTTGTTGTATCAGAGTACTATATACAGGGTGGTCAAAAATTGAATTATCGTTTCTCCATATTCAATGCCAAGAAAAACTTAAAATCAAAATAACTCGAAAACGAAAAACGCTAGGTACCAATAACCTTTATCAAACTCAACTTGTTTTTCCGCATATAATTAAAAGGTGCAATAAAAACTATAGCATTCCATTTAAAGTAACGAAGTTGTGGTCTACTTCCGGTAGACCGGAAGTGGCGGCCATCTTGAAAATAATTTAGATCGAAAGATCGGTATGAACCTCCTAAATAAACTAAATTTCAGAAACGTAGATACAATGGAATAGAAATTAAACGGGTGTTGCTGATTTTTTGGCGGACACTGTATAATGGTAGCACTCGGGAATTGGAGCATTTTATAAAAAAACTTTTAAAACAAAAGTTGTAGCAAATTTTATTCTTACCAATATTGCTCTCTGTTATTTTTGCCCTCAAATGCGTCAATATCGAGAAAAATGCGAAAATATGAAAATTTGAAACATTTTTTGTGTTAGTAGTAAATAATGGTAGCACTGGGGAATCGGAGCATTTTATAAAAAAACTTTTAAAACAAAAGTTGTAGCAAATTTCATTCCTACCAATATTGCTCTCTTTTACTTTTGCTCTCAGATGCGTTAATATCGAGAAAAATACGAAAATATGAGAATTTTAAGAGTTCGTTGTTACTAGCAGATAATGGTAGGTAGCACTGGGGAATCGGAGTATTTTATAAAAAAACTTTTAAAACAAAAGTTGTAGCAAATTTCATTCTTACCAATATTGCTCTCTTTTACTTTTGCTCTCAGATGCGTCAATATCGAAAAAAATACGAAAACATGAAAATTTTAAGAATTCGGTATTTTACTAGTAGATAATGGTAACACTGGGGAATCGGAGCATTTTATAAAAAAACTTTCAAAACAAAAGTTGTAGCAAATTTCATTCTTACCAATATTGCTCTCTTTCACTTTTGCTCTTAGATGCGTCAATATCGAGAAAAATGCGAAAATATGAAAATTTGAAACATTTTTGTGTTACTAGTAAATAATGGTAGCACTGGGGAATCGGGGTATTTTATAAAAAAACTTTTAAAACAAAAGTTGTAACAAATTTCATTCTTACCAATATTGCTCTCTTTTACTTTTGCTCTCAGATGCCTCAATATAATAATAATCATAATAAAGATGTTTATTGATCAGATAAGAAACAAAATAAAACAAAGAGTAATACAAAGACAAATAAAATTAAGAAACTAATGAGATGTGTCTAAATCTGATCAAAGAAGGTCATCATGTCAGGTCGACCAAGACCAATAGTCTCCTGATCACTCCGTTTTTCAAAGACCCCCATTTTGAATACAACAACAAAATCAAAAAGGTACAACCGAACGATTCAAGTCAATAAAAAAAAACCAAAGCGACATGACTGTTCAACAGAAATAACTAAATTGAATTAAAAAAAATATATATTTTTCTTTCTTTTCCTCTTCAAAGATAATAATAACAAACTAAAATCTATCATTCAACAGCTCACTCAAAAACTTGAAGAATTCGTTGTTTTACTAACAGTTAATGGTAGCACTGGGGAATCGAGGCATTTTATGTAAAAAGTTTTAAAACAAAAGTTGTAGCAAATTTCATTCTTACCAATATTGCTCTCTTTTATTTTTGCTCTCAGATGCGTCAATACCGATAAAAATAGGAAAATATGAAATTTTTAAGAATTTGTTGTGTTACTAGCAGATAATGGTAGCACTGGGGAAACGGTTCATTTTATAAAAAAACTTTTAAAACAAAAGTTGTAGCAAATTTCATTCTTACCAATATTGCTCTCTTTTACTTTTGCTCTCAGATGCCTCAAAATCGATAAAAATAGGAAAATATGAAATTTTTAAGAATTTGTTGTATTACTAGCAGATAACGGTAGCACTGGGGAATCGGAGCATTTTATAAAAAAACTTTTAAAACAAAAGTTGTAGCAAATTTCATTCTTACCAATATTGTTTTTTTTTTACTTTTGCTCTCAGATGTGTCAAAATCGATAAAAATACGAAAATATGAAAATTTAAAAAAATCGGAATCTTACTAGTAGATAATGGTAGCACTCGGGAAACAAAGCATTTTATAAAAGAACTTTTAAAACAAAAGTTGTAGCAAATTTCATTCTTACCAATATTGCTCTCTTTTATTTTTGCTGTCAGATGGGTCAATATCGAAAAAATTACTAAAATATGAAAATTTAAAAAAATCGGAATCTTACTAGTAGATAATGGTAGCACTCGGGAAACAAAGCATTTTATAAAAAAACTTTTAAAACAAAAGTTGTAGCAAATTTCATTCTTACCAATATTGCTCTCTTTCATTTTTGCTCTCAGATGCGTCAAATCGATAAAAATACGAAAATTTGAAAAACGATCTAAATTTAAAAATTTTACGAAAATGAGGAAATAATCTTTATATAACGGCGTATAACACACATTAGGTTAGATTATAAAAAATAATTAATTTATTTTGTTAACTTACAAGTTTTTTTTGATTTGTGGTACTCAAGTTCATCATGCAACTGCGCCTGCTCGTACAACGGCCTTTCGATCTTGATTTGCTTGCAAACGTCTCCCATAACAACTTCTAATCCCAACACCCAAGAAATTCCAAACAGTTAGGTTTCAATTCCTTTTCGATCTTCGCGTTTCAATTTCGAAGATAACACTCGATTATTTTCGATCCAAATGGGGGCTTTTAAAGTTTTACCACGAGTTGATAACGATGTTTGCACGCGATGTGGCCGATGTGGCTCGCGTTACCATTACAAAAGAAGTAATATTTTACGCACGCACTTTACAACTAGAAACTAGAAACTGCAAGCGCCTCTATTTGAGTAATTTTAAGTGTTAAAATTAAAATTTCTTACCGTCGTGAGGTTAAAAGAGAAGTGATTTCGTAATTTTGCGTTGTAATTTAATTTTATCTCTTTATTTTTTTTTTTTTTTTCATTTTAAGGTGAGTAAATATTGAGGTGACAGGATTTTATTGCCACTTTGACGTTAAAATGTTTTATTTCGTTTATTTTTTTTTAAGAAATAATTCTTTACCTAATAATTTATTAATTATTAATAAATAAAGCGTTAAGTTCACAATAAAACGGGGTAAATATTCCCATAGAGAGATGATGCCGAAAGTAAATCCCGATTAGGCGTTAATAATAATAATTATGATCAAAGCTATGTACTTGAAAATTTTCCTGGCGCGATGTTTTCTTAAAATAATGTGTCAACATTTAGATTAAACGCTTAATTAAATATTTGTATATAAAAAAAGTTCGGCTGCACTTCCAATAAAATCCATTTAATTAAGTAAATATATCATTTTTGGTAATTCGAAGGTTCCTCTCGTTATTACGTTTAAAAATGTTTAAAACGGTTGGAATGCCTATTATTTAAACTAGAAATGCTGATAGTTTCATAAGACCTAATTAAAGCTACGATTTATTACGATGTGTTGAAGAATGAGTTAATAATTGCTTAATCGAAAAATGAGTAATCTTATTACGTTTAAAAATTAATATTTCAAAAAAAGTTTCTGGAAAACCAACGCGAGGCAGATGATGGTAGAACTGGGGAATCGGGGAGTTTTATAAAAAAACTTTTAAAATAAAAGTTGTAGCAAATTTTGTTCTTACCAATATTGCTCTCTTATAGTTTTGCCCTCAGATGCGTCAATATCGAGAAAAATGCGAAAATATGAAAATTTGAAACATTTTTTGTGTTACTAGTAAATAATGGTAGTACTGGGGAATCGGAGTATTTTATAAAAAAAAGTTTTAAAACAAAAGCTGTAGCAAATTTCGTTCTTACCAATATTGCTCTCTTTTATTTTTGCTCTCAGATGCGTCAATATCGAGAAAAATGCGAAAATATGAAAATTTGAAAATTTTTTTGTGTTGCTAGTAAATAATGGTAGCACTGGGGAATCGGAGGATTTTATAAAAAAAGTTTTCAAATAAAAGTTGTAGCAAATTTCGTTCTTATCAATATTGTTCTCTTTAACTTTTGCTCTCAAAAGCGTCAATATCGAGAAAAATACGAAAATTTGAAGAATTCGTTGTTTTACTACTAGATAATGGTAGCACTGGGGAATCGGAGCATTTTATAAAAAAACTTTTAAAATAAAAGTTGTAGCAAATTTTGTTCTTACCAATATTGCTCTCTTTTATTTTTGCTCTCAGATGCGTCAATATCGAAAAAAATGTAAAAATATGAAAATTTAAAAAAAATTTTGTGTTGCTAGTAAACAATGGTAGTACTGGAGAATCGGGGTATTTTATAAAAAAACTTTTAAAACAAAAGTTGTAGTAAATTTCATTCTTACCAATATTGCTCTCTTTCATTTTTGCTCTCAAATGCGTCAATATCGAGAAAAATGCGAAAATATGAAAATTTGAAAAATTTTTTGTGTTGCTAGTAAATAATGGTAGCACTGGGGAATCGGAGAATTTTATAAAAAAAGTTTTGAAATAAAAGTTGTAGCAAATTTCGTTCTTATCAATATTGTTCTCTTTAACTTTTGCTCTCAAAAGCGTCAATATCGATAAAAATACGAAAATTTGAAGAATTCGTTGTTTTACTAGCAAATATAGGTAGCATTCGGGAATCGGAGAATTTTATAGAAAAACTTTTAAAACAAAATTTGTAGCAAATTTTATTCTTACCAATATTACTCTCTTTCACTTTTGCTCTTAGATGCATCAATGTAGAGAAATATTAAAAAATGTGAAAATTCGAAAAAATCGTAGTTAGACATGTTGCTAATGGAAAGAAAAACTATAATCCGAGCATGATACAGAAAAACTTTTAGAACAAAAGTGTAGCAAATTTTACCCTTTACACATTATTATGTAACACTTTTGCTCGCAGATGCATCAATTTTGAGAAATATTCAAAAATATGAAAATTGAAAAAAGTTGTAGTTTAGACAAGTTGCTAATGGAAAAAAAAATGGTAATCAAAGTATAATACAGAAAAACTTTTAGAACAAAAGTTGTAGCAAATTTTACCCTTTACACATTACTATCTAACACTTTTGCTCTTAGATGCATCAATATAGAGAAATATTCAAAAATATGAAAATTGGAAAAATTTGAAATTTCACAATTGGTTAATGGAAAAAAAAAAATAATGCGAGCATGATGCAGAAAAACTTTTAGAACAAAAGCTTTAGCAAATTTTACTCTTAACACATTACTATCTAACATTTTTGCTCTCAGATGCATCAATGTTGAGAAATATTCAAAAATGTGAATTGGAGTAATTCGTAGTTAGACAAGTTGCTAATGGAAAGAAAAACTATAATCCGAGCATGATACAGAAAAACTTTTAGAACAAAAGTTGTAGTAAATTTTACACTTTACACATTAATATGTAACATTTTTGCTCTTAGATGCATCAATATCGATGAAAATATGAAAATTTTAAGAATTCGTTGTGTTACTAGTAGATAATGGTAGCATTTGGGAATCGAAGCATTTTATGGAAAAACTTTTTAAACAAAAGTTGTAGCAAATTTCATTCTTATCAATATTGCTCTGTTTTACCTTTGCTCTCAGATGCGCCAATATCGAGAAAAATACAAAAATATGAAAATTTTAAGAATTCGGTATTTTACTAGTAGATAATGGTAACACTGGGGAATCGGAGCATTTTATAAAAAAACTTTTAAAACAAAAGTTATAGCAAATTTCATTCTTATCAATATTGCTCTCTTTCACTTTTGCTCTCAAATGCGTCAATATCGAGAAAAATACGAAAATATGAAAATTTTAAGAATTCGTTGTTACTAGCAGATAATGGTAGGTAGCACTGGGGAATCAAAGCATTTTATAAAAAAATTTTTAGAACAAAAGTTGTAGAAAATTTCATTCTTACCAATATTGTTCTCTTTTACTTTTGCTCTCAAATGCATCAAAACATTAGTGAACTTACCTACTTTGTTTCAATGGCAAACATTATTATACCTATCTTTAACAATCCTCTAAAAAAATTGGTCTGTATCGAATAATAAAAAGCGGATTATCTTGAACACGATCAACATCAGCGCAATTTGATAAGAGTACCGTTTTTGCTTAAAAAAATACCGAGAATAAGAATTTTTATTGAAAAAGCCAAAAAGTATGCTGTCAGAAAAGTTAGTCATTTTCATCCGTAAAGAATACGTTACAGAGCGCCGGCTACCGGCTATAATAAAATGGATTCCATAATCGTCTTTCTCATGCCAAAAAACCTCCGTATACCAAATTTGAAAAGAATCGGTTGAAATACACGTGTAATATTAAATAAAAATCAATTTAAAAATTTAATTTGAACACCCTGTATCTCCAAAACAAAGCGTTAGCGACCTATGTTTATATGAAGTTTTTGTGTTAATTTTAAAAGATCTGTCGATTGTTAAAGTCCTGCTACAAAAACCTGAAACACCCTGTATAATGGTAGCAGTGGGGAATCAGAGCATTTTATAAAAAAACGTTTAGAACAAAAGTTGTAGCAAATTTTATTCTTAGTAATAGTCTTTCTTACACTTTTGCTCTCAGACACATAGATATCGAGAAAAATTCGAAACTATGAAAATTTGATGAATTTGCTGTCTTTTCAAGTTGTTGATGGTGACATTAAGGAATGCGAGCAAGTAAGAAAAAAACTATTTGAACAAGAGTTGTAGGAAATTTTATTCTTAAGAATAGTCTTTCTTACACTCTTGCTCCCAGACACATAGATATCGAGAAAATGGGATGAAATTCTCCATATTTCTCTAATATAATAAAATATGATGTAGGTAAAAGTAAAAACCTTTTGAGAAATACTAAAATGTTTAATTCAATTCAAACAGACATGTTTCGAAACTAATGTTTCATCTTCAGTACTTAGAATATTATACAATATAATGGAAAATATTTTGTTAGTAGGTGGGGTTTAGGAATGGATCTAAATTCCTTTCAACTTAATTTACAAACAAAAAATTAATTTAACAAAATCAAAAAATTCAATAATATAGTTAAAATCTTGGAAGGTAACATATTATTGGATATGTTACCTAACATGTTGTAAATTAAAAATTAAGAAATTGTGAAAATTTTAAGAATTTGTTGTTTTTAAATTGTTGATGGTGACATTAAGGAATCTGAGCATGTGACAAAAATACTTTTAAGACAAAAGTTGTAACAAATTTTATTCTAAACAATATTGCTCTCTTGCCCTTTTACTCTCAGACACATAGATATCGAAAAAAATACGAAACCATGAAAATTTGATAAATTTGCTGTCTTCAAGTTGCTAATGGAAAGAGAAACGGTAATCCGAGCATGGTACAGAAAAACTTTTACAACAAAAGTTGTAGCAAATTTCATTCTTACCAATATTGCTCTCTTTCACTTTTGTTCTCAGATGCGTCAATATCGAAAAAACTACGAAAATATGAACATTTGAAAAATTCGTTGTGTTACTAGCAGATAATGGTAACACTGAGGAACCGGAGCATTTTATAAAAAAACTTTTAAAATAAAAGTTGTAGCAAATTTCATTCTTACCAACATTTCTCTCTTTCACTTTTACTCTCAGATGCGTCAAAATCGATAAAAATACGAAAATTTGAAAAAGTCGTTGTTTTACTAGTACGTAATGGTAGCACTGGGGAATCGGAGAATTTTATAAAAAAACTTTTAAAACAAAAGTTGTAGCAAATTTCATTCTTACCAATATTGCTCTCTTTTATTTTTGCTGTCAGATGCGTCAATATCGATAAAAATACGAAAATAAGAAAATTTTAAGAATTCGTTGTTCTATTAGCAGATATGGTAGCACTGGAGAATCGAGGCATTTTATAAAAAAACTATTAAATCAAAAATTGTAGCAAATTTCATTCTTACCAATATTGCTCTCTTTTACTTTTGCTCTCAGATGCGTCAAAATCGATAAAAATACGAAAATATGAAAATTTTAAGAACTGAAATGACATCTAGATTTAAAAATTTCGTGAAAATGAAGAAATAATCGTTATGCCACGTGCAAGATGAAGGATTCCTCTTTAAAATGGTGTATAACACACATTAGGTTAGATTATAAAAATTAATTATAAAAAAATCGACAAGTTAAGGTTAATATAAAAACGATTAAATGACATCTAAATTTAAAAATTTCATGAAAATGAAGAAATAATCTTTATATAATGGTGTATAACACACATTAGGTTAGATTATAAACACAAAAAAATCTTGTTATTTAGTATAACCTAAAAAATAATTAATTTATGTTGTTAACTTTTAAAAAATTTTAAAAATTCGTTCTTACTAGCAGATAATGATAGGTAGCACTAGGGAATCGGAGCATTTTATAAAAAAACTTTTGAAACAAAAGTTGTAGCAAATTTTATGCTTACCAATATTGCTTTCTTGCATTTTTGTTTTCAGATGCATAGATATCGAGAAAAATAGGAAAATATGAAAATTTGATGTATTTCGTTGTTTTAAGTAGGTAATGGTAAAATTTTTGAATCGGAGCATATTATAAAAAAACTTTTAGAACAAAAGTTGTTGCAAATTTTGTTATTAACAATACTGCTCTCTTACACTTTTGCTCTCAGATGAATAGATATCGAAAAACATACGATAATTTAAAAATTTGAT